ATATTATTAGTAATTTTAAAATAGGAATTAATATATATGATAAAAGAAATTTATAATATGTAACTAAATACTTTAAAAAAATTTATCCCAATAAAAATATATACAACATGAACATTATTTTGTAAATAATAAAATTTTATATAATATAAAGAAATAAAAAATATACTTATTTATGATTAATATAAACTAATTTAATAAAAGATTGAAAGTTTTAAACCTAAATAAAAATATTTATTTGTTAAAGACGAAGATGGAAAAGATAGGCAAAAAAAAAAAAAAAAAGAATTGTATTGATCTATATGATGTATGATATTATATGCTACTTCTTCTATCCCATTAAATTTTTCTATACTATCGTAAATACATAAATTTAGCAAAAATATATAATTAGTAAATAATTAAAAAATATATTAGTAAAAATAATTATTGTATAATATAAATAATTACTCTCTCCGTCCCACATAATTTGTCTCTATTTTCTATTTTCGTCCCACATAACTTGTCGTTTCTTTTTTTGAAAATATGATTATCTACATTAATCACATTTTAAATTTTATAATTTTCTTAATCTTAATTAAACTTTTTACTTATGTTAATCTTAATTTATAATTATTTTCACTAAATAATAATTATTTTCACTGATACACTTCTTAATTACTTACTAATTATAATTTACATAAATTCTTGTATCTACAATAATTGACTCAAAGTATATGGGACGGATACATATTAAGATAATTAAATAATTTAAATATCATTTTTCTCATTTCGTATATTTTATCATAAAGTATTTTTTCACTGTCACATATTATTATCTTTTCACTCAGGTATATATTAGACAATATATATAAGTAATAGTTTCAATTTATTTCATTTATTAAGAAATATTACTATGATATAACAGTATTTCATATAACATTATGATTTTGTTCACTCAATATTTTTTTGTAACATAATTTTTCTAAATATTATTAAAAAAATATATAATATATATTCATTAACACAATATATATAATATATATTTTATTTAATCATAAAAAATCAATAATTCAACGGTAAATACGAAAATTTAGGTAAAATATAATTAATAAATAATTAAGAAGTATATTAATAAAAATTATTATTATATACTAAAAATAATTATAGATTAAGATTAATATAATTAATTTTTTTTAATTAAGATCCAAAAATTATAAATTATAAAATTCAAAATGTGATTATAGTGTGTAATTATATTTTCAAAAAAATAATAATAATAAATTATATGAGATAAACCAAAATATAAAATACAGACATTTTATGTGGGTAAAAGAGAATTTTTTTTTTTTTATTAGTGACATAATTTTTTATATCTAACATAAAAATAAATTCATTCAAAAATACTATATGAACAAATCCTATATATTTTGTTACATTGCTCTCTCTTTCCCACTCCAAACTATATTTTTGGATTTTGCAAAAAAGTAAGAAATAATAGCATTTTATTGATTAGTGAGAATATGTAAGATATTTTGATATTTTTGTCAATGAACTTTATATATAAAGTAATTGTAAATATAATTATATATGAATACATATTTTTTAAATATTTTTGTTGTAAAGTATGAGAAATTATGAATATACTATATAGAATTATATGTTTTTATTTACGGTAAACTGTTTTTTTTTTTAGTTTCGTAACTGAACTCATTTATCATTTTAGTTTCGTAAGTAAAATTTTTTTTCAATTTAGTCTTCAATGCTGATGTGGCATCTGCGTGAAAGACTGACGGACACGTGTCAGATAGATCAGCGCCACGTGGCTAACATGTGCCGCCATGTGATAATTATTTTAAAAAATAATAGAAAAATATAAATTATCCACATGTCCGTCACGTCAGCACCACGTAACCGTTGTGTGAATAATTTATATTTTTATATTAAAAATAAAATATAAAAATATAATTAAAAATTTAAAAAATTATAAATTATTAAAGATCAGGTACTTGACGGACATATGCATTGAAATTTAAAAAATTTATACTACTGCCGTTCCATAAGAAGGGCAGTATTTGTCTTTTACGGCATTATACTGAACGTTAAAGATATTCTTATATTTGTATAATTTAATCCACAAATATCATTGTATTTGTTTGGTGAGAGAAAAATAGAGTATTTTTGTCATTTTTTTTTATTTGTACCACGCAAAAACCTTATAGTACTCTTCTTATGGGATGGAGGTAGTATAAAAACATAGTGAATGACACATACCCATGTATTTAAAAAAATAAATAAATTATTGCATGTATCTAATTAAAAAAATATGATAGAGATTTTTCTTGATAACACTATATTTAAACAATATCTCGAATATTTTACTTTGTCCCTACATTTTTTGTTTCTTATTTGTAAAATAAATTGAAGAACACGTTTGTCAAATATGAATCCTTGACTATTAAGATTGAGTTTGGCTTATTACTTATTATAAATAATGTTTACAAAAAAAAAAAGTACTAGTTTGTTTGTTTGAAAAAATTGAGTTTTTTTAAAATACTTTATTTTATATTATAAGAAAAATTAATTTTACATTCAAAATTATTACATCAATATTTATTTATATCATATTAACAATTATTGAAAATCCAAACCCTCTAACAAACGCACAATGTTAATATATTTGTTAATTTTCTTTTAGTCGAGTAGGATCGATTCCATAAAATTCGACAAGATAATTATATACAACTTAATATGCATTAGTTAAATTTCATACTTAAGTTTAAACCAAAATAAAATGTGTGGATAGTAATTACAATTTGAGACAACATTTAATTAGTCAGATTGTGTGTTTTGGGATTTTGATTTTGATTGGGATCTTGATCTTTTTTTTTTTTTTTTTTTTTGTGAATTAGTAAAATTTTTTGAAGCCATTCCCCAATTTTCTTTTTGGGATTTTGATTTTTCTTGAGTGGAAAGAAGTGCTTTTAAGAATACATACCATTTTTCGATCTAATTGCAGCATAAACACGTCCAATGAAAGAATTTTTATCTTAGAGTAGCTGTATACATATATTTATATATAAATATATTTGTAATAACCTCAAAAAATCAGTAAAGAACACCGATTGCGAGGAGCATAATTATGACTCGCAGCCAGAGACATTATTGACAAATTCGAATCAATACACTTACTAAGACTCTTTGCAATCATAAGACCATGTTGGGTGTATTAATAATCTGTAATTTGTACTTATCGTTGGAAGTTAAGAATTTTTACAAACAATATGAACATTTTATTATAGATCAATGATAAAGAAATTTTATATTCTATAAGAATGCCATTTAACATCTATGTCATATCATTATACTAATTGACTTATAGTTCATTGAATCATTGCCATTTCTGAACCTAACCTTTGAAAACTCAGATTGCTTTGAGCCAGTGCATCTCACATTGTACTTGGTCATTGTCAAATATTAATGACAAAGATCAGAAGCCGGATCAAAGTTGACTCAAAACTGAGCTATTAAATTAGACGAAAAATTTATAAGGAAATTGTGGAAAATTCATAATATTGATTCAACATTGCCTGGAGTTGGTTAAGTTAAACAATTAGTTGGTTGGTTACCAATTGTTTTCAGGTATGTTCACTCAACTCTTAATTTAGGATTTATAATGATAATACTGGAACTCTTGTGAAAATTAATGATAATATTGGGACTCTTGTGAGAATTATAGAGTTAGAGAGAAAGTGTTATAAAACATATGTTTAGAGGGATTTTCTAGTTGTTTTTTATTTTAAAACATGATGTTGAATTGAATGAGACAGGAGATCTAATTCAAAACTTTTATATTGCAAATCAAATTACACGATGGAGATAAAGATTCAAATGTTACAATATTAATGAGTTGTCTTGCGAGGAACAAATCTGAACAATCATTAGTGATTTAAATTGAGATTGTAGATTAATTATTAAGTTCATTCGAAACAAATTACTATGCAAGTGCAAGAACTAAGCCTCCATTCGATTATTAATTTTCAGTTGCTTTGGATAATAGGGATACTCCATGGATAAATAATCATTTGTATAAGTTTGGCATCATTTTGGTCGAAGTCTTAATAGCGTGTAATTTTCTTATTCATTTCAATTGTTGTTTTAATTATTCAATTTGTATCTCCTTAATTTCTGAGTTTGAAGGTTCCAAGAATCCATTAATAACCTTTGAATTGAAAAGAACATACTTTTGATGTTCAAATATTAGACGAAAGAGAACAAAAGCTAAACATTGGATGAAATTAAGATGTTTGATAGGCTTTGGCAATAAACCCTAAAATGATGAAATTCAATCTGATTAGGTTTGCTATTAGACAACCCTAAAGCTTAGACTATGATGAAAGAAATAGTGTATATATATATATACATGCTTTTCAATCCAAAACAATATTTTCATAATTCTAGTATGTTTTAATTTGTCAACCGAATTATCTAATCTTCCCAAGTAAGAAAGCAAACCTTTAAACTCGATCATATGCATCTTCTTATATTACATTGCATGTAATAAATAAGAAACCAGCTAGTTTCCTAGAATGTTCAATATATCAAATTTATCGGCGCACCTAAGTTGACAAAAACGAATATTTAAGACTTAATATGGTTAAGAGTTGCTATAATAAGCAAACAACCACACAAAATACAGTTGTGCTGCAATGATTATATTTCTTATTCGGCAATTGAAAATATTTTTAGGTTCTTTTTTAAGATTTTATTTTCTCTGGCCCTATTTATAAACAAATTTTCTTAGGCACAAGTTCACACTGATTTCTTAGGCACAATAGAATCCATATATATTCAGCACTGATTAATTAAAGATTGGATTAGTTTGAAGATGGTTCAAAGCCTTGGATTACGAACAAAACAGTTACAGGTCAAACCCCGATAGATAGAGATACACATATACATACATGCATAAATACTTACAGTTGTGGTTTACTATTGTTATTATTTTTGTTTCTCTGTCCGATTCAGGCAATATTTCTTGTAAATCTTGCTTCTGCAACAACTTCTTCTTCTTCATCTTCCTTTCTCTTTCAGTCAGTAATAGTCATACATACCTATATCTCTGCAGTGTTTCCAATGTTAGTCCATGCTCGTTTCTCAGCTCTCACTCACCGCTGCTTCAATCAAGTTTCATTTCATTCACAATTTGTTAACGACGATAAAAAATAAAAAATAAAAATGGAGAGAGAAACAAGATTTGCAGGAAGTAATTATTTGTTCACATATGTCCTTCACTGCAATTTACAATATATATCAAGAATGAATAGGTGCTCCATATATATATCGCGCGTTTCATTTTATCTATAATTTTTATAATTTTATTAATAATTAATATTATTTTTACATCTGCCTCCGGCAGATCCATCTTCTCCGACCTCCCCTCCGACCTCCTCCTCCTCCTCCTCCATCCTCCATTCTCCATCCGCCTCCGACATCTCACTGCCCGCCTTCATCGTCGCTCTTGCAGGGGCCACTGTCGGCACAATCCTCCGTCTCAGCCTCCTCGGTCACGTCGCTCCACTCCGACACGGACTCCGCCGGCGCCGCCACATTCAGATCGAGCCTCCTTGGCCCCAGGAACTTGTAAAATACCGGCGATGGGACCCGGGCCTGCGGCGGTGGCTCCATGGCCACTTCTGTCGCCGGCGGTGGTGGTGGCTCATCCGCGCCGCCATCCACCACGACCCCCCCTGGGGCCTCGCTCTGTCGGTTCCCATTGCGCTTCAGAAAAATCCTGCATAGCACCCAGTTCCTCGCCTGCAACGCAATTAAGCAAAAAATCAAAAATCCATCGATAAAATGCAGAAAATCGAAAATCATCAATCCATCGACAAAATGAAGTAATCAAGTAGATCCATGATCGATCCATACCTGTGCAGCAATAATGTGGGCAGGGATAACGAGGCTGTACTCGTGCATTCTCCAGTCAGTCCTCTCCCCTGCCGGCGCCTTCCCCCGGTAGAAGACCAGCGTCTTCTTCATCCCTACCAGCACCCGCCCCTGGTAGTAGATCCGCCCGTCCACCCCGGTCGCCTTCCAGTACCCGGACACGGTCGCCCGGTTCGACCGGCTCCCGTTCTGATACTTGACCCGCTTCTGGCTGAAGAAGTATCTTTCTTCCTCAGCATCGCCTGCACCCAGAAAAAACATCAAAACCCTAATTTCAACATAAAATCTAAATCCACACACACAGATCTCATCCTGTCAATTTTTACGAATTAACGTAACCTGGCAGATTCCATGGATCGACGCGGCAGACATCGGCCTCGGCTATGACGGAGACAGGCATGGGGTGGTTGAAAACCTTCCGGCGAAGGTACTGCAGCACAAGCTCTTCGTCCGTCGGCTGGAAGCGGAACCCCGGCGGCAGCCCCACAGCGGCGCCGTCGTTCCCCCCCTGATTGACGCTCCCCACCAAAGCAAGCCCGTTCGCCATTTCAGAAACGAAGACTGAATCTCGAAATTGATAGTGACTACAGGAGAGGAAACCTAGAGCGAGAAACTGTTGCGGTGGGAAAGAAAGGGTGAGAGCGAGGGCCTTTTATAGTAATGAAAATCATCTGGCGTAAGAAACACTCAATCTGCTTGTGTGACGCAATTTAAAAAATCACTATTTTTATTTATTTGGATTTCTCTATCTAACTTTTGGACTATCTTTATAGCAAACAGTGGCATCTGCTTCTTTTTCACCCTCTTTTTACAAAATATAAAATATAATGTGAATTTTGTGGCATATTGTAGCCATATTAAATTATTTGGTTCTATTTTATATATAATTTATTAAATTAGAAGTTTTATTGCATAATACATGTAACAGGTATATGACTATAATGATATTGTTTATTTTGTTTATACGAGTATTTTTGGAAATTTTTAATATTTGGTGTTTGGATATAAAAATATTTAGATACTAAGCAAATGAGTTAAATAAAAGTATTTGTAACGAGCTTCCGAAGGTCAATATATGTGAATTTCGAGTGCATTTTTATGCGATTTTCGGGTTTATATATGCGACAAACAATGAAAAAATATATTAATTGAAGTTCCACGTCATTTCATCTTTGCGGCGATCATTTAATTTGGGCATACATTGCTTTTTAGATATATGTACATGTGTATTATTTAAGTGAATTTTAAGTTAAATAAGAATCTAACAATTATTCCACGTGTATCGTTTAACAGATTTCTCGTTTAAATAAAATTCTAACGGTCATTTTGGACATACATTGTTTTTACATATTATACACGTGTATTATTTAAGTGATTTTTGTGTTTAAATAAATCTCTTAACCACCGTTCAATGCCATTTTATTTTGTCTCGATAAATTGGATCGGTTTTTAATTCAAGTACGTACATGGGCCGTAAATTTGATATTTCTTCGATAGAGAATAAATTGTTAGTTAAATTATACTCTCTCCGTCCGCCTCTAAGGGTCACATTTATCTTTTGCGTCGTTGTACTTAACATAAAAAATATATTTATATTTGTGTGATTTTTTTTTACAAATGTCTTCTATTAGTATTATGACACAATAATGAAAATGTCTTTGCAATTTTTTTTTTAAAATTTGTATACGTTTTGATATAATAATTCATATTTAAATATCAACAAGCAAAAAGTAAATGAGACCTTTAGAACCGGACAGAAGTATTAATTTACACAAATTGATCCAATTATATATGTTTTAATAATAAATTTATAATATTTTTTCATAAAATATTAAATCAAAATACTATTTAAATACTCAATTTGATTTCAAACTACAACCAAATGCATAACATTTCACTGGATGACTAAAAATTAAACTAAAATAAAGCAACCACAAAATAAACAAGTAAATTATATATAGTATAGACACCAACATGCTACATTTTTTATAAAACTAATAAAATAAACATGAAGATGTATATATATATATATATATATAAGTTATTTCTTACTAGGGGTATAAAAGGGTTGGGTGGGTGATGGTTGAAATGAAGAGTAAATGTCCTAAGTGCCCCCAAAACTACAAATGTAATTATATTTTTTTATTTGATGATACGATGAAATGATGTATAATTAATTAATAATAGTGTTTTATTCATTAGTAAAATTGTACAAGAGATTTTGACATTTTTGCACTTTGACTTTATGTATAAAATAATTATATATTTAATGATATGTTTATAATTTAGATATTTTGGTATTAATATATAATTAATTTTACTAAAATAGAGAATACATACTTTAAAATCAAACTAACAAAAATGATAAAATAGATATATTGATTTAAACGGAAGAAATATTCGAAAAAATCTTGTCAGTCTCACCATGAACAAACTATTTAGTGAAAAGTTTTTGACCTGACAATTTGAAAAGATATTTTTGTCCCTCTTTGTATAATTATCCACTAATCAAATGAGAAAGTCTTAATTGTGATGGTTTTTAGTTTAATTAGTAACTACATTGCAATAAATTTAAATATTCCCTTGGTAGTTAAAATTTTAAATTTCATAATAATTACGATGAGATAAGCATGTGTTTCTTTTGGTTAAGTTTGGAAAAATTTAGATTGAATTTGATATTAAAATAATGTTTAATGAGATATTTTGGAGGAGAAAAAATTGTAGTATTATTTTTGAAAAACACGTAGTCCAAATAATAAAATTTGAAAAAACTTTGACAAAATAAACACAGGCGTTACCCCATTTATTTATTTATTTATTATTATTATTATTAAGATGGGTAGGTGACGAAACCATTAATATAAAACACCTATTAACATTAATGTAATTATTTAATTTTTTAGTATTGTATTTTGACAATTATTTATTTTTTCCCTTTTTAATATTTGTACCGTTGTACAAGTTACTGTAGTATTCATTCAATATTATTATTTGCATTGACAATTAAAAAAATAAATATATTTTATTTATCTCTTGTATCACGTTACATGTTTAAAATTATATATGTATATATGAAATACATAATAATCCATTGTAATTTTATTCTTGCATAACCATAATTCATTTTAAAATTTTATATAATCACCTACTAATGATTAAAATAAAATTAAATATATATTATAGAAAAATTGTGAACATTTTCTTTTATTTTTTATTTAGTATGTGTAAAATTACAAATATTAAGGGAGTATGCACTCAATATTAGTTGAATTTTAATATATTATAATACATATTACAATTTGATTTTATGTAATTATTATGAATATGATTTTAGATATATTAAATCAATTGATTATACTTTAAACTAATTGTTTTTAAAAATAATCGTAAACAACACTCCAAAAACACTCAATAAACAAATAATGAGAAAGTAATAATTATTATTTTACTCCACTTATTAAAAACAAATAATTTAGTCAGTTTGGTTTTGTTTTAATTGTGATTAAATTTTTTTTATTGTACTTACTAATTCAATCACATACTCAATTTGAAATCATAACTAAGTTAGACAATATAACTGTTGATTTTCGATTAATCCACTCAACATTCAATTTGTTATAACTATTTATATTCACTGTTTGACTTTTATAAAATATAAAATATTTATATTAAAATATTGTACTAAAAATATATACTCCCTCCGGCTCAAAATAGTTGTCTTGTTTCTCTATTTTTTTCCGTCTCAAAACAATTGTCATGTTTCCTTATTTAGTAACTTAGTCCCTACTTTATAACAACATTATTCATACTTTTTCAAACTACTCATAATTATTACTCTAAGTTACTTTTTAAAATTCTCTAAAAAGTAGGGATATTTTAGTCTTTTATATTCTATTTTATATCCGCTTTTAATTAAATACTATTATTCCTTAATTCTCGTGCCGACACCAAATAAGACACCTTTTATGGGACGGAGGAAGTATAATATTCAACATATACTTTTATTTTATGTATTCTTTTCTAATATTATTTAACACTCAATTTTAAAATAAATTAAACATACAATGCAAAATTTTATAACCAATTAATATTCCATACATGAAAATATGCAACAATATCTTAAAGATAGTAATTAAATTAAATATCATATGTATATCAATTAATAATTAAAATATAAAAAAATCCCTCGAGCATATTTAGTATGTATAATTAAATTAATCTTTCTCGATATATATGTGTATATTTATTTAATATTATATATATTAAATATTACATGTCATTGTTATTCAGTATTAACTTTAAGCACAGTAATAATAAAATTTAGTGGGCATTTACAGAATTACATTAAGTCAAAAAGATTTATTTTCAAAAAATTTAAAATATATATAAATTTAAAATAATATTAATTTTAAAATAAAAGATAAAAAGAAGATAAAAAAAAAAATCGATATATCCCACAAGTAAGAGAAAAAATCCACCATACATATTTTATATTATAAATTTATAACGATGCAATATTACAATATTGCAAGATATTCTCTGTAATAATACTATTTTATATGCATATTACATGGTATATATTATATTATATATGCGTCAAGAGAAAAAGTAAAAAAAAGTCACAAAAATACAAGTCAACTCGCAATTGTGGTTTTTCATTTTTCTCACTCTATCATCACCGTAGATATATCTTATACATATAATATTTTTTAATATATTATGAATATATGTATAAAAAGGAGGCGGATCCCGTGCTCATGGGTGCCGGCAGCACCATGCTGATCCAATTCGAACCGTTCATTATAATTAGATTATGATGAACGGTTTAGATTACGCAGGGGTAATATAGTAATTTTATTTTAAAGATTTATAGGTATATATGAACCCTTCGTCTTCAAATCGTTAATCTTCCCTTTTCAAATCGTTTTTTTCAACAAAAATCCTCCATTGCGCTAGCTTATTCTCTATTCCGACTTCAAATCGCCTTCTTCAACGGAAATCCTCCATCACATTCGTTTGTTCTCCATTCCGTCTTCAAATCGCCTTCTTCAACGAAACCCTTCCCACGCGCGTCGTCTCCGATTCGTCTTCTCAATTCTCTGTACCGTCCTTCAAATCGACGACACTAGGCGCGTCCATAGAGGCGATTTTTGGTAAGTACTGTTTTTTCCATTGTGCAGTTTAGAATAAATGTTCATCTTCTCCCATGTCACCTATTTTGAGTTTTGTTTTTTCCATTGTGCAGTTTAGAGTAAATGTTTAGGGCGAGGACGAGGTCGTGGACAAGACAAAAATTAAGTGTGATGACTGATTTGTTGTTTTTTATGAATTGAATTTGAAGAGATTGTTGGTATTGATCGATTGATTTAACTTGAATAGATTGTTGGTGTTGATCGATTGATTGAATTTTAATTGGTGATTGATCTGTTGACTGTATTTTTGCAACAATTACTGCTTAATACTCATGCTTCTTGTTAAAACACAAGAAGCTGACCGATACATAGTAAAATGCTTGACTTAGTATATATAAATGCTGGCAGGATGTTT